TTTACTCTTTCACATAACACACTTTGCTATTCACTTTCTCTACACTATTCATGATTTTATATATCTCTATCCTATCCCCCTTAGTTGGCTTTTTTTTTAAGATGAATAGTCCTAGTCTTTTAAAACTTTCTTTGTATGGAAGCTGTTCCATACCCCCAATGACTTTTCTTGCTCTTCTCTGTACGTTTTCCAATTATACTTTTTTTGAGACTACTGCAACCAGAATGACATGCAGTATTCAAGGGGTGGGCGTACCATGGATTTATATAGTGGCTTTGATATTTTCTGTCTTATTATCTATCTTTCCTAATGGTTCCTAGCATTCTGTTAGCTTCATTGACTGCTGCTGCATTTTGACTAGATATTTTCTGAGAACTATCCACAATGACGCCAAGACCTGTTTCTTGAGTGGAAAAACGTAATGCCAACTATACATACAAAATGATGGGGTCTGTATTACTTGTTGCCAATGTGCATTAGTTTTTCTGTCTACATTGAATTTGATCTGCCATTTTCTTGCCTAGTGACCCAGTTTTGTGAAATCCCTTTATAACTTTTTGCGGTCAGTAATTTTGTTTCATCTGCAAACTTTGCCACCCCACTGTTTACCCCTTTTTCCAGGTGGCTTATGACTATATTGAACAACACTAGTGATAGGAGCCCAGCAGTTTTTGACATCAGGTGTCTTTGAAAAAGGCCGGGTCCAGTCACAATGGCTATTGAAGCATACTACCTAATACATTTGACCTCTCAAATTGGTAACTCCTTATTCCCACCACAATCACTGTTTAAAATTTGCCTGATTCCTGTGCACATTTGTTTAGGAAGGGGGGAGCAAATGCTGTTTTTTGTCTCAGAAGGCCTGTAACAGAATGGTTTGGGCAGAAATGTGCACGTTACAGAGGTGGGGACGCAAGTAGATCCTAAATGGCAGTGGGAAACTGTGGAAGGCATCAGGACAGAAATTTTAGAGTTTTTTTTTTTATTTAATAAACTGGACATGACTAGATATGCTGCTATTATTACTAGTGTTACAATAGTGCAAGTAAACAAAGAACATAGTCGTGAGTAGAATCAATAAGAGGATATTAGAAATGCAGCTCGTTACTTTCAGTGATTTGTGACACTGTTCCTGTTTAAAAGGATCACTGACCATACCTGTCTCTCTGTACAACTGGACCCCATTTTCTGTCTGTCTGGCCTTAGCAAACAGACATGCAGACCTCATGCACAGCTGGCTTTAGCTGGATTCCATGTGGCTGGAAGGGGCCTTGATCAGCTCTGACCTCTCCAGAAGGTGGCACTGCAGTCAGTGGGAAGTGACAGTTCTTGGCAGTTCGAGAACACTTAATGATCGGTAGCTTGCATTCTCAGATCACTGTTTGCTCACTAACCACCCCTCCCAAATCCTCAGTGGGTACCTAACAGTCGTCCCCTGCTCTCCACGCTGCCAGCTTGAGTGGCTAGGCAAAAAGGATGGGTGGGAACTGAATGTAAACAGTCCTCTTTAAAACTGTCCTGTCCTAGTGTAGACGGAGCCTCTGAGCTACTCTGGTAGGGTTAGGAGTGGCGCGAGCTTGGCTCTCAGGGCCATATCTGAGGAATAAGCAGATGCATTCTGTTCTGTGTAGCTTCCTTTCTGGAGGGGTTAGCAGTGCGTAGTCTAGATGCTGAGGAGTACAGTCTGTGCAGATGCAGTTCAGCCATAGGTTTCAAACCCTCCCTCCTGTAGGAGCGTGTTCTTGCTGAGAGCTGTGGCGAGTCTACTTCCTGTAGCTATGGCCTAACTTTGCAACCATTACCCAGGGCAACGTGTGGGAGCCGTCCCATTGAAGTCAGTTGGACTGCTCCTGCGTGGAAGTGCTGCTTGGCATAAGTAAGTGTCGCACAATGGGGCGGAGGGGGTGGTGCCTGTTACAGAGAACTGCTACAGAAAAATGAAAGGGGTTTGCAGACGGTTGCCATCGGTTTTAGCACAAGCGGGAGGGGTGACTTGAGCTGCCTTGATTCACACCTGCTGTGTTTGTGTAAGATAACTTGAAGGTGTCTGGGAGCCTTGCTGCTGTCCTGTTTGCAGAAACCAGACCTGGCTGATTCTTTACAGACATGGAGGGCTCGTGGTGAGAGATGAAAGAGCCAGCAAAGTCCCTCTCCAGATGGGGGTTATGTAGCTGGTAATCCAGCATGTGTTTAAAAAAATCACTTGTGGGTTGTGTGTGTGTGTTTTTGTGTGTGTGTATGTTATAGGCCAAAGGTATAATTCTAGCCCTGGAGTGAAGTATTGACTTGGTGGCCCTGGGGACCAAAGTCCTCTAGTTATATGCAGAACAGCAGGAGAGCAGACTTCTCCCCCACCCCCCCTGCACCTCAGTTTGGATGGGGTGTCTGTGTGAAATGTATGTCTGTCTCTTGGAGGGGGTGAGTTTGCAGGTGAGGGAAGGGGCTATTTGAAGCAGTTGCCTTTTCAGAAAGGGGAAAAATGGGGTCTGGCTGTTGCTAACGAAGCCGCTTTGTTTACTGCAGAACCTGCGGTGGGGTCCCTGACTTGCAGACTAACCTGGCTTCTCTTTAACTCCTAACGTGCTCTGTTTTGAAACTGCATCCATCCTCCAAGGTTTGACTCAAGTTCTCGTCCTGCCGGGGCTCCCGGGAGAGGAGCACCAGAACAGTCTTTGCTCAGGGGTGACTCTGGATGCAGGCTTCAAAGTTTGCTAGGGCTGGTTCAGGGTCCCAGGGATGACTGGGGTTCCACTGCATTGGACCCCTAAATCTTATAACCCTGCTGCCCGCCCCGACGCCCGTGACGAGAGCTCTGTCCCTCTGTCGTGTCTTGCAGAGCTGTAATGGCAAGGTGCTGCTGGAAGAAGTTGAGCCGAGGGGCCTGACGGACACTCTGGTGCTGAATGGCAGGAAGGTGGATGAGCGGCAGGGCCTGCCTGCCATGGCCCACAGCCAGCTGGAGGGATCGAACAAGGAGGCAGCGCTGCGACTCCTCACCGTGGGGCTGGAGCAGCGCCCCCCTCTGCATTCGGCCTACATCCCGGTGCCCAGGCAGAGGTAGGAGCTTTGCTGCTGGGGTGGGGAGGGGTGTGGGGGGGTGAGAAGGTGAGTAACTGGGTGTCTCCCAGCCTCCTGCAGGGGATAAGTGCAAGTCCTACTGCCTCCTATCAGAGTAGGGCTGGGCAAGGTGTATCCCTTGGGCTTTAGGGGGTGGCCTGGCGGGTGGAGGAGCATCTGTTTCTTCCCTGCATCACAGCAGCCTTCCCTCCCAGAGGAGTTGCTAGAGCATGATGGGAGCTGCTCCTTCCCCTCGTGCTATGGCCAGCCCAGCCTGCAGGGAGCTCTCTCCCCTCCTGACCTCCAGGGGCTGCTTGTGCCTCAAGCAACGAGGGACTGAGTCTCGCTCGAATCCTACGTTCGGTCACCGAGAGCCTCCATCTTTGTGTGATGCACCAAAACCAACATATTCTCCCCACCCCGGCTGATTGTGCTGCCTGGGTAGGGAACTTGGCTGGATCCCACTTGTTGCCTCCTCCTGTGCTAGGGGTGTCTGCCCCACATGGCTTGGCTTGGGCAGTGGGGAAATCTTCCAGGAGAGGGTGTATTTAAAAATCCTACTGACAAATAGCTTTTTCTCCCTCTGCAAGGGTGCACCTGAGATGCCAAGACGCTGCTGCATTGGATGTTGTGGCTGAGGACAGCAGAACCTGCAGGGCAGGTCCTTTCTTTGAGGGGGGGGAGTTATTGGCACAGGTTTGAACCATGGGAAGGCGTATCCCTGGTGATCAGTCCTGGCTGGTTGAATGGTGTGGGATGATTGATTGATTGATTGTGCTGCATTGGGGAGCTCAGGATCCAAGCAGTGGGAGGGCACCAGGGGCAGCCTAAGTGTTGGGGGTTGGCAGGTTCAGGAGGGAACCATATCTGTTCTTCCTTAGCTAAATCGCTCTGTCTTGGGTACTTGTATGGCCCACCTCGCTGTGGTCCCTGAAGCAGAGTTGCCGTAGTGATGAAACTGGTGGACGTGAATGGCCCCTCTCTCTGCCACATGGTGATGTTTTTCCCATGGGAATCCCTTGGACTTGCTGGATTCTTTGTCCCTGTGGGGGACACCAGCTTCTCCGGAGAAAGCAGCATTGGACTGTCTTGTGCCAGGGTTTGTGCTAGTTGTGTCCAGGAGGGATTTTATGCAGCAGGAGGTGGGAGAGTGGAAATGGGGGTGAGGGGAGGCCTGGAGAGGAGGCAGAAGCCAGTATGTTTCTGACCTGATTTGAGCAAAACGGCAGATGTCATTCCTTGGGAAAAGGTAATTATTTTGCCTGATGTGTCTACTGGCTTGGGAAGGGTGGGGTGCTTGGGTGCTGGCACAAACCGATCCACTAGTTGTGGATTCTTGCATTCAAGCGTCGGTATGGATCTAGTATCAGAGGGGTAGCCGTGTTAGTCTGAATCTGTAAAAAAGCAACAGAGGGTCCTGTGGCACCTTTGAGACTAACAGAAGTACTGGGAGCATAAGCTTTCGTGGGTAAGAACCTCACTTCTTCAGATGCAAGAGGTATGGATCTAGTGCAGAGTGTCCATTCTCATTCTGTCCCAGTCCTATCCTTAAGCAGCTACTGTATCGCCTGGAGGCATTAGCCTAATGTGGGCTTGCAGGCTAGTGATGGGGCTCCTAGCAGCGCTTGACTCTCTGAGTCAGGCATGCCGCATGTTGACATGCCACTTAACTCCACACAGCATCTGTGCTGGGGAAACACCAGGCTAAAAATAAACCAAATGGTGAGGCAATTATGTATTTATAATAGTCTTAGATTTCAGGATAGAGGTTCTCTGTTTGCCTTGTGCTCTGCCTGAGTTTAAAAAGGCAATGGAAGGGGAGGAATCCGCTTCCCTCCTTGGGCAGGGATATGCTACTAGTTCTGTAAGGTGGATGCAGGCAGAGTGACGCCTAGTGGAGAGGACCGAATAAACCAGATGTTGCTGTTCTGGCCTAGGGAATCTGCAGTTGTGACTTATCAGAGTGGGGAAATTTGGAGGATTCAGGTCTGGATAACTCAGTCCAACGTGAGCTCCCAGTGTGATGCCGTGGCCAAAAGAGGTAGTGAGATCCTTAGATGTATAAACAGGGGGATATCTGGTAGTAGAGAGCTTATGCTACCTCTGTATCTGGAACAACCACTGCTAGAATGCTGTGTCCAGTTCTGGTGTCCAGTTCAAAAAGAAGAAGTTGCATCCGAAGAAGTGAGGTTTTTACTCACGAAAGCTTATGCCGAAATAAATCTGTTAGCCTTTAAGGTGCCACCAGACTCCTTGTTGTTTCAGTTCAAGAAGGATGTTGATAAATGTGAGAAGGTTCAGAGAAGAGCCACAAGAAAGATCAGAGGATTATTAGGCATGTTTCCCAACGAGACTCCAAGAGCTTAATCTGTTTTGCTTAACAAAGAAGGCTCAGGGTGGGACTTGATCACAGTCTGTAAGTACCTTCATGGGGGAACAAAACATTGATAATGGGCTCTTCAGTCTAGCAGACAAAGATTTAAGAAGATCCAGTGGCAGGTAGTTGAAGCTAGACCGATTGAGTCAGGAAATAAGGCATACATTTTTAACAGTGAGAGTAATAACCCTTGGTGAGCTTTTCCAAGGATTAATGTTGGATTCTCTACGATTTTTAAAATCAAGACTGATGCTTTTCTAAAAGATCTGCTCTGGTTCAAACAGGAATTAATTGAGGGAAGTCGGTTACATTAGACTACACTATACAGGCGGTTAGACTAGATTATCACAGTGGTCCCTTCTAGCCTCATAATCTCTGCGACTGAAGACTTTTAAACCACAGATGGTGTTGGAAGAAAGGGAAAACTCAGATTCCTGGACCCCAGGGTATGAAGTGAGGGCAAGGAAACTGCATGTCACAAGGTACTCGACACAAAATCCTTTCGGGTACTTGGCCTAAGCTTTTCTGTCCTGTTCAGAATAGAGGCCATCACTAGAGGCAGGCTCTCATTTCCCATTCCACATCACCTCTGTGAGGGTGAATGCTCTGTTTGAGCTGAACTTGAAGATGGGATGTAAGATCTGTAGCAGACGGGTGTCTAACACCAGCCGAAATAGCTTGTCTGTTTTCCGGTTGGCTTGTCCTGGAGGGGTCTGGCCTTCTCATAGACTTTAAGGCCAGAAAGGATCATCGTAGGATGGGAAGAGACCTCGAGGCTATCTAGTCCAGTCCCCCACACTCATGGCAGGACTAAGTATTATCTAGACCGTCCCTGACAGGTGTCTATCTAACCTGTTCTTAAAAATCTACAATGATGGAGATTCCACAACCTCCCCAGGCAAGTTATTCTAGTGCTTAACCACCCTGACAGGAAGCTTTTTCCTAATGTCCAACCTAAACCGCCCATGCTGCAATTTAAGGCCATTGCTTCTTGACCTGTTCTCAGAGGTTAATGAGAACAATTTATCTCCCTCCTTGTAACAACCTTTTATGTACCTCAACACTGTTATCATGTCCCCCCTCAGTCTTCTCTTCTCCAGACTAAATAAACCCAATTTTTTTCAATCTTCCCTCAGAGGTCATGTTTTCTAGACCTTTAATCATTTTTGTTGTTCTTTTCTGGACTTTCTCCAATTTGTTCATGATCATCTAGTCTGACCTCCTGCATGGCGCAGGTCACAGAACCTCACCCACCCACTCCTATAGTAGGCCCGTAATAGTAGGTCTGTTTGAGTTACTCAAGTCCTCAAATCTGAAGCTACAGAGAATCCACCATTTACTCTAGTTCAGACCAGTAAGTGACCTGTGCCCCATGCTGCAGAGGAAGATTAAAAGCCCCCAGGATCTCTGCCAATATGATCTGGGGGAAAATTCCTTCCTGATCCCAAACATGGCAGTCAGTTAAACCCTGAGCATGTGGGCAAGACCCACCAATCAGACACCGGGGAAGAATTCTCCGTAGGGTAACAGTCCTTCCCATCTAGTGTTCTACTTTCAGCCATTGGAGAGATTTGCTAATAACAGTTGCGGATGAGCTGTATGCCATTGTAGCTAATCTCATCATTCCAAGGTCAGTCTTAAAACAAGTTAGTTTTAGGTCTTTTGCCCCCACTCCCCTTGGAAGGCTGTTCCAAAATTTTACTCCTCTGATGGCTAGCAACGTTCATCTAACTTCAAGCCTAAATTTATTGATGGCCAGTTTATATCCATTTTTTGTGCCAACATTGGCCCTTAACTTAAATAACGCCTCTCCCTTTCTGGTGTTTATTCCTCTGATGTATTTATAGAGAGCAGTTGTATCTCCCCATAGCCTTCATTTTGTTAGGCTGTACAAGCCAAGCTCCATGAGTCTCCTCTTGTACTGTAGGTTCTCTATTCCTCTGATCATCCTAATAGCCCTTCTCTGTACCATTCCAGTTTGAATTCATCTTTCTTAAACGTGGGAGACCAGAATTGCACACAGTATTCCAGATGAGGTCTCACCAGTGTCTTGTATAATGGTAATAACACTTCCCTATCTCTACTGAAAATACCTCACCTGATATATCCTAGGATTGCATTAGACTTTTTCATGGCCACGTTACATTGGCAGCTCATCATCATCTGATCAACTAATACTCCCAGGTCTTTCTCCTCTGTTGCTTCCAACTGGTAGGTCCTCAGCTTAAAGCAAAAATTCTTGTTGTTAGTCCCTAAGTGCATGACTTTGCACTATTAAATTTCCTCCCATTTCTATTGCTCCAGTTTTCAAGGTCATCTAAATCTTGTATATTCTGGTCCTCCTCCATATTGGTAAGACCTCCCACCTTTGTCATCCACAGATATTATTAGCACGTTCCCAAGGTCATTAATGAAAATGTTAAATAAGATTGGTCTCAAGACTTATTCTTGAGGAACTCCACTGGTAACCTCCCTCCAGCCTGATAATTCACCTTTCAGTATGACCCACTGTACTCTTCTCTTTAACCAGTTCTGTCACCACCTTTCAGTTCTCATATTAATCCCTAACTTCTGCAATTTAATAATTTCCCATGCAGAACTGTATCAAATGCTTTACTGAAAT